TGCAGATCAAAACCAACTGTGGCTCATGCTCTGGTTTTGTGCAAAAATGGAAGGCAGATCTGGAACCTTAAAAACCTGAAATGCCACTGTAACCAAACATAAGGTCTGAGGGTTTCTTTGACCAGACAAAGGCCAAAAAGAAAAGTTTTCCAGTCTAGGGTTCTAGTTCTATCTTGTGTGCAAATCTGACTCTGGCAAGGCTCCTACAAATGAATTTAAAGAAACACGTATTAAACAAAGTGCTAGACAGGTAAGGGGATAAGAAAGCAACACTATAGAGTACTTCCTTTTAATTTCTGACAGATGCTCTGAAGCTTAAGATTTTTAGTGCATTTCAAATTTGTTGTGTGATTGGTTTTGGGTTTGTTAAATGGAAATGATAAATACATGAGTTTCAATTCTACAGGTACATTTTACTTCTGTATTTCTGAACAAGCCCTTTTAGTTGTTTCAAAAGTATAATGTTCTTGCATTACAAAAAAAGGAAGCAGAAAATCCTGATGTGTATTCTCCATACTCCTACTGTTATCATTGCTTTTATTGCTTTTCCTCCATGAGTAGTTCAAGCAGCTACTGTACACTGAGCCCTTATGGCACTTTCTGTAATGATATTAAACACTGTCTTGCCTTGCCTTCCCCCTCATCCAAAATTCATACAGAACTTCAAAAAACATCAACATAATCTCTAAGAGGGAGAGATAAAAATAAAGTCATGGCAATGATTTGAGAGGTCACATCTTTTGCTTCGTACCCCATATGGCAGCTCCAACATTTGAAGGAACAGAAGCAAAAAGACTGGGTGTGTGTAACACTGGTATGATCAGTAGTAATAAACCTATAAATGGAAGTCTGGAATAAAGTAAGAAAACTGAAACAGTATCTTATTTTACTCCAAACAAGTCTGTCTGCAGGAATTGAGTATTCTAACGGAACACTACTGGTTAAACACAAGACTTACACTAACCACACAAGAAATAAACTGCAAGTTTCCAGTATTTTTGCACTTCAAGTCCACTATCTTATCTATTAATTTAACAAATTAATTATCCTCCAGAGGCAAATTATTTTAAGTTGCATTTCAAAAACAAGTCCTATCATCTGCAAACTCAAGTAACAGTTAAAATCCCTTTAATGGTATTTGATACAAAAGCCAATTCTTGGAAACTTGTAGCAATAAAGTTGAACGATTCCAAACTTCAACTGCTTCTAGGAAATTTAATGTTATTGAAAAAGCACATGTTCTTCTACTTCACCAACTTCAGTCACTCAGAACGCATAGCTGACATGCTTCCTACCCAGACGTTCTTTGACTATCAACAAAACATACTCATTTATCTGTAAGGCTTAAACAGTAGGACCTGTGAAGAATGACCAATGGACAATAGCAGAAGCTAGTGGAAGACAAAACAGTCCAAAACACCATCTCAACCTGACAGTCCAATTACCTTATAGAAATAGACTTCTAAAACAAAACAAAAAAAGTGTGAAGCCCCTTACTATGAGGCCTGCAAAGGCACTGAGAAGGTAGGACAGCATGTTTGTACCAGATGCTTCACTAGACAAGAATCCTGCTGGCACAGGCCTAAGGACCCCCCCTCCCATCCCTATTCCTTTGATCCCACATCATCTTTTATGATTGCCTGTCCTTGGCATGAGAAGACCCTCCTTTCATACTTAGTTTTTCCTAGATTTTAAAGTTCATGTATTCTCCTAACACAAAACTGTTCTAAAGTCAAATATGCAGACTTGGAAGATCAACATCTGAGCCACAACAAGACTTCACTGCAGTTTATTAAGTGGTGTAGCTGACGACCTCAAGCCCACTTCAAAGATGTTAGATCTGAGTCTTGGAACAAAATTCTTATCTTCAACTTGGAGCATTCAGGTTTTAGACCCAGCCTACTTCACAGCCGGGTATTTTGACAGGGACTCTGATGTGATACATTAGTCTTAAAAGCCTGCTCCAAGGAAGAATCCGTATTAACTGCACCATTTTATTTTCTGTTTAAAAGCATGAATGAAATACCCAAATTCCCCTTACCAAGTAAGTCAGTAGGTATATCCACCTAAAATAATTTCTTCAAACTGATCCTGCTTCCTCTCTCTTTTCTAGAAAGACTAATGGAAAATTCCCAGCACTACTTTTTTGTTGTTGTTGTTGTTTGTTTGTTTGTTTGTTTTTTTTAAAAAAAGGTATATGCACACCTACTAGAGAAAATAAAGATGAATGCAAGGCTTCCACCTGATGAGGAACATACAGAGACAGAAGGGCTGCCTCTGTGGAAGCTGGGAGTTCAGAAGCAATAAGGTAAAGACTCTTCAAACTTTCTGTTTCTGAATACTGGATCAGATGAGTATGTTTGCACATACCATTCAATAGCTTATAGTTTTCAATGGTTCTTCAGATTGGCAAAAGTGGCAGTATCAAGGAAGAAATTAATTTCTCCTTCATTGTCAATCAACATTAGTATCACTGTAATAATCAAAAGCCTCAACATCACAAAGATTAATTCATCTAGGATTGCTTCTGAAAGTGTTAGTAGTCAAAAAATGGTAAAAACCAAGCCCTTGTATTAAAACATAGTGATACAAAAGAGTATGGTGATTCTCAGGGGGAATAAAACCCAACAGGATTTTCAACCTATATTAAGCACAGAAAGGTAAACTTCTGACTCATTCACATGCTATTTAGGGTCACAGCGCATATTTGCTGAGGATTTCCACATGATAAATAAATGCAAGGCTCCATAAGTTAGCTCTATCAAGCAGATTTTTTTCTTCTTTACTGGAGTGACTTAAGGAGGTCACAAGTGAGAAAGCAACAGGAATAAGATTTTGTATTTTCTTGGCTCAGATGATAAAAACATAAACCACAATACAATGCGTACAACAAGATTTCAAGGAAAACTCCTTCAAGCTCAACAGCAGCTAGCAGCTTGTCTCTATTTGCTGTCACTCTAGATCAGAAGAGTCCACATGCTTTTTTTTTTTTTTTCTTTCCTGCCCCTTTCAGTTACACTTGAGCTCTTTGACTGAAAAGGTCTGGAACAGATTAAAAGTCCAACCACAAAATAAAGAGCCTTGGCATGTACTCAAGCCTGTCTGGGATACACATACGCAGTGGGCCCAAAAAGGGAAGCTATGCAGCAAGCAACCCTTATGCAGTCTTTTGGACATTTCTAACTTCTTTCAGTTTAACTGCACAGCCTTAACATTGGATGGAGTCTCAGTATGCACAAGACAAGTAGCTTTTGCCCTTACAGTTAGACCATATTATTTACAGGAGTACAAAATAGTTCTGAGAAACAAGATTCATCTCACTCAAAATCTCTGACAATTAAAGTGTTTTCCACACTCCTATTTTAATTCAAGCTCATCTTTGGGAACTATAAAGTAATATAAAGAAAATAAAAACACATACCCTGCAAGATTACTTAAGTAAATATAATTGACCTGCCTCTTTTAATTGCAAAAGGCAACACTGATTTTCAAAATGACTGCTTCCTTTACAGCCTTATTCACATATTAAGTAATTGTGAAGTTGCAAATTACCCCCACACTCCTCTTGCAACATGCAAACAGGTCTGCAACTCTGGCTGGTGTTAAAGCCAGAATGGACATTTGCCAAGTTGACAACCTTCAGTACACACCCCACCTTTGGGCTCAAGTTGCACAGTGGTTCAACCTGTCTACAAACTTGTGAGCAGTTTTATAAACAAAGTGTGACAATCTGGTGTTCTCCATAAGAGCAAACGGATGTTTAAAGTAAGTACTGAAGCCTACAAAACAAAAATGCTGAAATTTCTAACAGCCATTTCAGAAAAACAGAACAGCAACTGTTGAGTTTTGCAGCTCTGTTTATACGGCATTCATGGAGTTAATGCCTCTCCCAAAAGGGGCCCACAGTTGTTGTTAGGTCAACCCCTGTAAAGCTTCAAAGGCTTTGTATCCCCTCAGCCTGACCTACTCAGTGATCTGCACACTGTTTTCATTTAGTTGCACCAAGTCCAAAACTAAAGCCTGAAAACCACAATGATCTCTTCTTTTTTTTATCCCTACTGTTTTTTCCATGGATCTGGAAAAATAACTAAAATCCAAAGGAGTTGAAAATAGTAAGTTATTGGGAAAACAAATCAAGAGCAAATTAATACAGCTAATAAAGCTTACGCACATAGGTCATGGCATAAAACAAAAACTAAAGTTGCAATACCACCTTAAATACATCAGAACAATCACTTGGACAATCTAAAAAACAAGTTTAGAGTCTCTTAATATATGCTATTGCTATTCATAACCATCAGTGCCAATATTTTATTGAAACGTTTCCATCTCTGCTCTTCATATAGATCAAAAACATTACAAAAAATGAGTTATCAGTTCTATCTTGTTAAATTTTTAAATCCAGACCTTTTGATCCCTAATTTACTATTTCTATTTCCAATATTACATAGTTTTTACCCCACAAGAAGATTATTAAAGTAGAAACCACAAAACTAAACATTTCTCTCCACAATGTTTAAAACAAAGTTTTGTCATGATCATCACTATGACAAGCTGGAATTATAGGCTGGTATGTTTCAAGCGTATTTAAACAGCATAAATTATTATTTGACAATGCCCTCTTTAACATAGTGCAAAGGAAAGTAAGTATTTGTTTGGGAATTAAAAGATTCTTCTGTGGTAAATTTTTGCAATTTTAAAGGGAAGAGTGAGCTTGGCTGAAACTGTCTCTAGGTAAATAATTTCTGAATGCCACCAATTTTGGGAACTGTATGGATCATATGGTAAAATAGCAACCTCTAGTATTAGAAACTTTGGTGACATACACTTCTAAAGGATATATGCTAATATTTTTTTAATAATGATTTCAGTAAGGTCTCTATAGATAAAATTAAAATATATTTTAATAGTACTATAAAAAGTTTTCAAAATATGCCTGCAAAATTAAAGCTGAGTGAGCTCAAGCGAATCAAAAATTCTGAAGTGAGATGAACTTTTACCAAAGCGTGGGTCAAGCCTTGGGTCTAGCCAAGATGTGGTCTTGTTCTTATGGTTTATGTAGTAAATTTCTCCATCCTGGGTCATAGCTTGTTCCCATCCATCGGGGAGTGGGCCTGCAATATAGAAGGAAGGAGTTGATGGCGGGCTCTTGTTTGCTTCAGCTGAAATTGATCTAAAAAAAATTCCAACATTTTACATATATAACAGTACATGAAACAGAAGAGTTTCAAGCTCATGTCTAACATTTCTGGGATTAGGGCAAAGAAGTGCGGGTGGGAAATCAAAGAACAGAAAACACTTCTATCATTTTGATTTAGGATTTGGAGTTTAATTTTTTAACTTGTTTGCATCCTTTCATATGCTTTTGACATGCCCTTTTCCTGTAGCATTACAGTACAAAACCAGCAATAAGTCAAGCCTGCCAGAATGAAACCAGCATGAGCACCAGGAAGAAGTACAAGCACAGAGATATTCTACCTCTCATGGGAAAATTCATCTAGTGATTAAGGCCCAGCAGCAGCAACAACATAACACTGATGAGATCCTGAAATATTCCTTTATCTTTCATAAACAAATAAAAAAAGTGACAAAACTAATTTTCCCTTTACCTCATACCATAACTTTCTGTGAAAGCATTAAGGGATTAAGCAAGCAAAAACACAAACCTGAAGAAAAGAAGGCAAACAAGCAATGAAAAAGTAAAGCTAAGAGAACACCAGGAGCAGACATAGAGACACAGTGCTATGAACAGCAGTGCTACGCCTCTATGAGCAGGAAGGCACAGGCAAGGAAACCTACATTAGAAACTGGTAAAAGGGAGGTAGGTGATGGTGTTTTGGAGTCCATAGCTAATGTCTGAACACAGCCTTGAAGTGTGTTTCCCTTATGTTCTGAATAGCAGCATTTGAGAAAATCACCTTTAATGTACATTCATCTGTGTTTTGCTTAGACAGAAAACTATTCTTAAAGTTACATTCATCTCATCTTATTTGGCAGGTGCTTTACAAATGTATGTTTTTAAATTCTTATATAGATGTGGATTTTAAAAATTGTCTAAATTAGATGCAGGAAGATCTTGACCGTATTTCTTTAGATTTAAGTACAATCCTGAAATAATATAGCAGAAGATCCACTACAAATGTTAAGAATGTAAAAGAAATTAGAACAAGACTTGCTCCAGGAAGCCATCATATTTCAACCTCTCCTTCCACTCTTCCTCAGTGTAATACAGTAATACACTAGAAAAAGCAATCTGGCTGTTAGACTTGGACTAACAGAATATTCTATATAATGAAAGATAAATTAACTATGCACAAACACCATAATTTCACATGTGAGATTCAGATATACACACAAAAATATGTATTTGTATCTGATAAGTGCCTGAAGTACCTACTATGTCCATGCTCAAACCACATTAGCTCTTTGCCTGTTATTTTGTCCTAACGTCATGGTCCTGTTGAAGAATTCATTGTCTAAATCTGGGGGGGGGGGGGGGGGGGGAGAAGGATAGATTTGTTTGCTTAAACTCAAAAGATGTTCTTGGAGAAATGTCAAAAAGAGTAAAATAATCATTCGACTGCATTCCAGTAATATCCCTAGGCATAAACAGGACAAGAATTTCTTACTGTGGTCTTTGAAGATCTCCTGCAAATTACATTTCTAATTTAAACTCTTCCATTTTGTCTCAGAAAACTATGCCTTTCTCTAGCAACCTCACTACTCCACCATTAGAGCTACAGGTTTTTCAGTATGGAAAACCAGTGATCTAACCATTGGACATTTCCTTCCCATATTTAACGCTCACAAGCTTTAAATGCTGCATACAACTAACAAGAGTACATCAGCTTTTATTAGAGGCAAATAAACGGAACAGGTAAGAAAGAGTGACAACACTGCAAAACATTAATAAAGCCTAACATATTCACAGTATAACAGGACTTTGATGCAGAATAGAAAGCTCAAGTGCAAAGAACCCTGTACTTTGTTACCATACCCAAAAACCAGCCAGCTAATCAGCAAGATGCTGTTTAAAACTGAGGCATGGGGACACAGTGACATGTACCACACCATCCAAGTGTAGAAGCCAATGAAGAAACAAAAATGTTCCTTGACTGCTAAGCCAACACACTAGCTATGTGGGCAGACCTTCTCACTACCATTCTCCTGAGAGTCCTAAGCCACACATCCCTCAGAGATGAAACTCAGCAAGAAATTCTCTTTTGAACTGCAAAGCCAAAAAACCCAGCTGGCTGCAGGAAAAACAAAACTAGCCTTGGGGTGTCAGTCTTGCTGAACATTGACTAAAGCGTATACCGATCCAGCATGTTCCCTTGTAGTAAATAAGAACAAAATGCCTTTGAAGCAGGATGCCAAGAGCTGATCAGTCCACCTACCTGGCAGAACAATACTGCTTATGATATTCAGTGATCTGATGCATACTAGCTCACTAGAGACAAACCTGGGCAAGGTTCTCTTTCTAAAATGCACAGCTGTAGACAGGACAGGAAAAGTCTGTCTTGCTCACCTGGCTGTCATGGTAGCAAATTTTCCTTGCTAAGTGCCATCAATGCCTGCAGAAACAGAACTTTTCTCTCTATAAACTTTTGTCATTAATCACGATGTTGCTTTCTTCCTTGGACAGTAAACTGCTCTCGTGTTTCTGCTGTCATCCCTACACATTGAAATGGTAGTTCAAAAACTGATTAGTACTGCTTTCTGTAATTCCTATTTGGTTTTGTGAGCAGCTGTGAAACCAGAAGACTGTCAAGTCTGATTTTTTAACTGGCTGGCTGACAAACTCTGTATTAGAGGCAAGTAACAGAGGAAAAGTGGAAAACTGTGGTGAAGAATATCAGACATTCACTCAGAGCACCTAGGAAAATTCCTGTGCAATTAGATGTCCCTTTCCCCCAAAGGGCTCAATAGGAACAGAATTCCCAGCATAAGTTTATGTTTTTAAGGGACTTAAGTTATATAAGCTCTATATTGCATTTCTTCAGACATTCTCACTAAAATTTCCTTAGTTATGGCAGCCCATGTTGTACAAAACCAGCCATGCTGGGTCTAACCGAAAGTCCATTTAGCCCAGGCACCTTGCCTGGTGTGGTGGACAGATCTTGTGGCTGAAAGCAGCCCATTTAGTGACTGTCACACTCTATAAACTTTTAAATATAGCACTGAATACACATATAGACCCAAAAAGTACAGAGGCTATGAACAGTCACTTGGACTCCAAGTACCTCAGGGGATTTCTTGAGCCAGATTCTGTCCATTTACTAGGCGCCAAAGGATCTCTCAAGTACTGTTCCAGTCTCCCCTTGAACCTTTGTAAACATTTAGCACCAACAATATCCCTGTGGCATGGTCTCCTACTCGTTCTGTTTGGTGCCTCCTAGGCCAATTGAACACAATCACAACCACAGACTTAAAATTCCATTAAATTATTAGTACAGGGAGAGACAACCCTTCCATGGAACTCACCATTTACCATGGTACTTTTAAAGACAAAGTTATCCAAAAGTTAGATTCCAATTTCCAAATGTAAGCCATCCTTACAGAACTACTGATAAGGCATACCTCTGTAACTAAATATTTATATAATGGTGTAACTTAACATAAATACATATAGTTTTAAAAGTCTATGTGCATGTCTCTGTTTGGTACATGTCTCCATTTTTTCTGAGGTTTTACCTTCCCAATATACCAACTTTGCCATGAAATGCAGAGTCTTGAAAGCAAAGCAAAGCTTGCTGCTGGCAGATAGAAAGCAACAGGAGTAACAAAAGCAAAAATGTAGTAGAGATTCAAGCTATGCTGAGATACAAAGTAAATCTTGCAAGTCACTATAGTTTCTGATATTTAACTGTAAAATAAATGTAAATAAAGGTGTATTTTATCAAAAGGTTAATGCATATTACAGGGCATTCGTATATAGATATTAAAACAATATGCCTGAACAACCTAGGAACTGGAACACCTATGTTCAGCCGCAGGAATCACCTTCACCTAATACAAGCACAGATATCTAAGAACCTCCCTAATCTTTCTCTGTGAAAGCTGAAATTTTTCCCTTCAATCACTGTCACTGTGATTCCAAAACTTTTTAAAATTTTATCAAAGTCTACAAAATTTACCTAAAGTCCACCTTTATTCTGTCAAATCAGTAAAACTTACAAAAAGGAGCTATTTAAAAAGGGGCTGTTTTTGCAGATTAAGAAAGAAATTAACATCATTGTCATGCAGATACTCGAGTTTCTCAACAGACCATATGTAGTGTTGACTATGCACAGAGCAGAATTTGTAGTATGACTGGTTACCCAGAAGAGAAATCTGCAGCTGAAGTGAGCAAGAACCTATGAGAAAAGCTAGAACTTGTTTTAGTTATTGGCATATTCTTCCTTACCCTCCCATGCTCCCAAGGGGGAAAAAAACCTCAAGAGTTACGAATGTGAGTATCCATTTTCCTACCAACCTTTAACATGGCACTACAGCCTTATCCTAAGAGGCAATGGAATTACACTAGGTCTACAAACTTTTACAGGGAAGCCCAATTCAAAACTGCAATGTAAGAGGGAAGACACAAGAGAACAAAAGACAGGTAATCTGCTCAAAATTTAATTATTTAACATCTATGAGCAAGCAGAAAAGGCTAAAGTAAGCAGTGCTGTCAAGCATGATTCAAGAAGTAAAAGTATCTGAAGAATGGATGTATATAAATACAATTACTATCCCACCTGTTATATCAATTCTAATTGTATAAGAAGCAGGTATTGTTTACTTTAAAACTTGCAACTTTACCTCAGTAAGAAATGTATAGGAGAGATTCCTCAGAAGCAGAATGTACCATTATTACTTTTTTTTTTCTTTTTTTAAATCAAGACAAAAGAACATAGTTTATCCTGTAATATCTTTAGGGAAAAAATGGTTAGAAACACACAAAAAGTCAGAACAGTTAAGACTAATTTTTATATACATGTTGCATATTTAGAAGTAACAGGTTTAGTTTCTTTCCATTGTTGCTGTGCAGGTGCAATCCTATTTCACAGAAGATTAACAAACAAATGCCATCTAAAAAAGCATGGTGTTTCTTTGCATACATATGGCCCAAACCATTTTAGTTGATTACATGTAGCAAGCTAAGTTCATCTAGACTGAGACAAAAAAAAAAAAAAAAAATCAAAGAACCAAAACAAGAGGAAACAAAATTCTCACTTTTCACATATTGATGCCCTCCTGTAAAGGATGTATACTAATACTCATAAAATAGTTCATTCACAAAATAATGCTCAGAACAGATGAAGCTGGTTCAAATGCTGATTCCTTAAAGGAACAAAACTTGCAGTAAGATACTTGAATTCTCATCCAGTCTTAGCTGCCTCAAGAGGTGGGATTTTCTTAAGAAAAACAATCTCATGCTAAACTACATCTTCCCTGTTTCTATCTTAAACACTCTTTTCGCTTGTCTTCACCCTTACCACATCTTCTAGTTTTGACTTCTTTCCATTTTCCCTGAGTTCCACTTATCCTATTTAACCAGAAAAGACAACAGGTTTATCTTCAATATGCAGACAGCAGCTTTCCAAATCCTCTTCTCTCTCTCCCCCTTCAGTTTGTTTTCCTGTTCTTAATTATTGCTAGAATTCTAATTCTGGTGAAATGGCTAAAGCTTCTAATGGCTTTCGAGCTAAAAATCTTGTGTTTTACCACAGCAACTTTACTCACGTGCTCCTATGGCAGCCTGTAAACAAATGCACTAAAATTTGGACAGTAATTTCTGATTAAGGGCTACAATTAATGAGCGCTATACAAGGATGAACCATACAGAAAGGAAAACATTCTCCCTTGTAGCACTTCGGACATTTTTTTGCAAGTCAGTGACCTCCAGCTGTCACAATACTTCCACTTGGTTTTTCCCAGTACCTTTCACGAAAGGCTCTCAAAGCACTAGGGCATGTTTCACTGCCAGCAGTATTTCATAACAGGAAACTTCTGTCTTAAAGGTCTCAACTTTATCTCCCAGTTCTTGAGGATGAATATCCAAATTAGAACATTATGTAGTCTTATATTTATGACGTTAGCATTCAGATTCAAGTTCCACTGTGCTGAAGTGGTACATGGTTACTTTATTTTTCCCTTTCTCTCAAAGATTCTTCATGAGGCCACCAAGGAATCATAAGTTACCATGAACTCAATAGTAAAACGTAACAGAACCAGATATAAGAGACTTTAGTAAAAACAAATATACAGCCATAATTTAAAGTTAATACATAAAGATTTGCCAAATCAAGTATCAGAAGCAGAATCATATCCAATAAATGCAGGTTCAGTATTATTTAATACAAAACAGACTTTTGTTAAATGCAAGTAAGTTAAGGGTAAGCAGGTGCATCCAAAGAGCCAGTTCCAAGTCATACTACCTCAACTGATTTAAACTTAAAAAAGACAATGCCAAGTAAACACACATTGTAATATACACAGAAGTTCTTATTTCTTCATGCACTTTATCAAATTCAGAGCACCAGGGCAAAAACTCTTTACAAGATTTTCAGTTCATATTCAATACAGTATCATCTGTGAAATTAATAACAAATGCTCAGTGAACTTGTATTCAAATAAGTGCATTCTCAAATCACAACACACTTAAACATCTCAACTCTTCTTTATTACACAAGCAACAGTATCTATGCAGAATCACTTGCTCACACACTTACAGCAGTCAATTACATGTAAATTCTTGATTTATTTTTTTTAAATAATCCTTGTGTACTGACTGATAGATTTTCTTTGAGATTTTTACCCTTTACAACTAACCAGTTTACTTTTTTGCTAAGAACCCTTCACTTCTCTGAGTACATAAAGTGAATCCTACTTCACTATTTTTTCCTGTTAATTCTTGGTACAGTGGAAGGTTTGAGGAGTTACCTTAAAACACAGAATTGATGTCAATATTCAAACAGTAAGCATCTAGTTTTAGCACAAATTAGATAAGACAGAAAGCAAGATAGAGCAAGGGAATTGTTTCCTTTCTCCTATTCTCTGTTCTTCAGAAGTGTCTCTAGAAAAACATCATCTCTATTGAGGCAGGATTCCTGAGATACATTTACAGAAAAAATAATCACAGATATTATATTTTCACATCAGAGCCTAAGACCTTAATTGCTCTTAATCATGACTTCCTGAACTTTAACAGGACTCTCATTTGTTTCAGGATAATCCAACCTCCTGGCCTAGCCAGCAAAAAGTTTGATTAGCTTCCCCTCTAATACTCAGCCATGAACAGCACAGTTTGGTCACGCCTGTTAATCTTTTGGTATTGTCTGCAGCATATGAATTGCTGCACGAAACAAAGCTGTCTAAACAGACAACAAAAAGCAGCACCAGAGAATAACCTTTGTGAAATATAGGAGCAGCAGACATACACCAAAATACACACAGACTGTGAGAAAACAAATAAAACATGAACCTCAAGGACAGACAGAAGGTGACAAAGCATAGGGAAGAGCACAGCAGTCAAAGTAAGATGGCACCAAATTTATCTGCTTGCTCTCTGCATCATCCACACAACAGAGCTCTGAAAACATACAGCAGATTCTATAGCAAGAGCAAGCACACTTTACTGCCGTCTAGTGATGCCCCACCCCCAACCCTAGCTGAAAAACAATTCTATATTCCAGGAAAAGATATCAGACTTCCTGGAGGAATAATCATCATCATACAGGATTTGAGAAATTATAGGAAAGTAAGAGGAAAACCAAAACATCTGTGCTTCTAAACAGGATTTTCCAGGTGTTTGCTTTATTCATTTAGGAAAGACAGGAAAAAATGAGATGTTCTTAACAAACGTAGGAAATGTAAATGAATGGCAGTTTACCAAGTTTAGTAAGTGAGCAAGGGGAGGCAGAAGAACATTGCAGAAGCACGAGAGCTTTACTGTAAATTGACACTAATTTAATGGAAACTCTGGTCTTCATCAATTTAACAGCATTTTCCATCAGAAGAAATTAGACAAAAATTCTGCTTATTTAAATGTCTGAATCATCCAATTAAAAAAAATAAAATACAGACCAAGATACTCCAGGACACTTTCTGCTGATATCTTAAGTATTACACAAATTCTCTTACCTCAAGTATCAGTCTCTTGCTTGATGCATCAAAAAATTTAAAGATTGAAACCAGAATAACTAGAAGGACAATTGTGAGATGTGGGTTCCATCCTCCCCAATTATAACAGTTAGTGGTGCCTTCATTTGTATGATCTTTTTCATAAATACAAATTCTGCTTACCTGATGCTGAGTTCATTATGTTCTGCTGCACGGAAGGACTGGTGGGAGCTGTAACATTCATCTGGGAAAGCATGGCCTTCCTAGGATCTTGCCATGTTGTTGTTTGATCAATGTGACTAAGACAAAACAAAACAAGAGTTAGGACAGTCATGCATTCACAACAATGACCTGCTAGCACAGAAAGTTTAACAACAAAAGATTAAGCCTGCCAACAACAGCCACATTCAAAACCAAGCAAGAACTGTTTGGATTCTTTCCAAGCATCACGGTATGTCAGATCTCAAACCCTCAGTCTGGCCGCCACCACTTTCCTAACAAACAGCTGTAGTGATCAGAGCTAGAACAAGGGTGAAATAAAGCTCAGCATGAATATTGTAATCTAGACTGGCGTACCGTAACTAGATGTTGTACCCTTGAACTAAACATTCTCTTCCTTTTCTCATTGACTAGTTACTTGTCATTTTTAAATGTGACTGTGGAGTCTTTCAAACCAAGCCAGTTATGTCTGGAATCTCAAGCACAGTCCAGTAACTTGACATGATGAGTTCATATTCAGTGCCCAGGGAGCTGTAATGAACTGGTTAGTGATGAATAATTAGTCTTCCCAAACTTTCTGTTCATACACCACATACTCAGATTATTGGATGGACTACTCCCCTCACCACTGACAACTGAAAAACCTCTCTGTGGTAATTTAAGTAACCAGTCACACTAGAGCAGTAATATGAAAGTGATGTGCAGCTGCCTTTCAACTTCATGTGAGAAGATGAGGACAGGTGGACTGTCAAGTAACCCAGCTAGCCCTCTGCGGAACCTAACTACAAAGCTTTGGGAGCTTAGATTTATCTGATTTGAAAAAACTGGAAAGTACATTCAGCACTGTCATTCACAAAAGTATTCAATTTAAAGAAAATACAAAAGTGTAGTGAATTATTACTTTACCTTTAAAGTATGTGATTAGCACGTTTTGCTAATAAATAACAAATGCAGGCTATTCATGACATGTGCCAACATTATCTTGATGCTTTTAAGCAACACTGCTCCAAGAAGTACATGTGGACAAAAATAAAACTCCCAATACACACTAAGCATTGACAACAAAGTCGTTGATTCATTCAGAACTGGTATCAATTAAAACTCATATTCAGATAGTATTGTTAACAATTAGAATTCAATGTGTCATTAACTTGGTACCATTCTGTCCTTACATGAATAATCCTTCAAGTTACTTTTTTCTGGATTACATGGAATGCTTATTTTCATTTACTTCAGTAAAACCACAACATTTAAATCTGCAATATAAATTCTACTGGTGATCTGAGTTCAAAAATAGGTATTCCAACTCATACCTCTGCTTTGTACCCATGTCTTGTATTGTGTTTTGTATGTATCTTGGTGGATCAATATGTATTTGTATTGAATTATCAATCAGGCTGTGAATTTTCCATCTTTATTGGGAGTAATTGTCCAGCAACTGTTCCCAATTCACAGTTCCTCTTATTTTAAAACATATTAAAGTTTACGAGCTGGTACTGTATTATTTAGGCATTTTAAATGGATAAATAATTCAGATTTGTTACCTCAACACTAGTATCTTTGTGGACACTGACACTTGACCATGTCACTCTGCTCCCCATCATCAAGAAAGGAACCTATGTAAGCACTGTCAGGATGTAATTCATTTGATCAATTTAAGGAATGTATTGAAGGTGAATCAGGCCTATTTTCTCCTTCAAGGAGGGAACCCAAGTTAACTAGGGCAAATATATTAGACGAGATTAGAAGAGATGAATCCCAACTTTTGTTTATGTATTTGCATGACCACAACATTGAAGAGCTCTGGTCATAAAATAGCTCAAACTGGACAAACAAAACAGAATATTATTTTCTCCCTGCCCTAAGCAGCTAGTTGCTATGCCTAGAAGCTTACTAACAAAAACCTTGACTCAAATTAATAAAAATACGTTCCACTGAATTTTAATATCATCTTAACATGTTTTTAACACATTGTTTGGTGTTCAGAAAATTGGTAGTTTCCCTCAAAATACTAAATTAAAAGATACAAATTCTGAATATTATAAAAAGGGGCAGTAGTCACCAAAATAATTTTGTACACAGAATTATTTTTCACATTCTAATCACTGATGGGACTTTCTGTTATAAGGTGGAAGCTATCACAAAGTGGCTTTTTAAAAAGTTTTGGTTTGAGATATGTATATTTTACCCTCTCTAAAAATGCACACAAACAATTCCAGGTCAAGAGGCAGGAGTGTTACTTGCACAAAAATATAATAGTAAACAAAGCTCTACTTGTCTACATGCAGAAACTACTGCCAGTTTTCCCTTATGTACAGGAACCCCCTGTTACTACAGCGTTGATTAAATTGGTGTCACTGCCATGTTAGTTTCCACAATACAGCTCATTTTATACAGGTACTATTAAGCACACTGCATCTTTGGTTGCACATGTTTTCCAATATGCAGTTCTACTGAGAAACATGCCACATGCAGCAAGACTTACTTCCTTTTTAGCCTATTTATTTATAAAACAGGGCACAACATAGTAAAGACTGCCCTACATATACTGGACTATACATAAACCTTCATAAACATTTTTTCTCTTTTCTGCTGGTCAATTTTGCAAAGCAATGAAAGCGAGTAAAGATAATACAGATGTAAAAACACTGCACAGTAATGCTTCACAGACTATGTGTTTAAATTACAGTACCACCATGTGCTACTCCCCCCCTCTATTTCTGATTTGTTATATTTGTTCAACTCAGTTCTGGGAACAGTGGAAACTAGGAAAACACCACTGCACCCATAACACATTCGTTTATTTCCATTTAACTCCTATAAAAATCTATGTAACACTATGAACTTATAAAACGTCTACCTAAGGTACATATTTTACAGACTTTGTTTTTATATGCTAGTTGAGTGTAGAGTAAGTAACGGAAGGAAAAAACTTGTCTCACTGCATTACAGAAACATTTTTGCAGTTTAACTTTAGGAACACAATGAAAGAACATTCGCCAGTTTTTTGAAACATAACTGAACATAGGATAGATGAATGGACTGTGGAAGAAGCAATTTTGAGCACAAGGACAGCATTATCAATTCTTCAAGACTACTTAAACATACCACGTGAAATACAGTTAATATTCATATGGAGTTGTTAACACAGATAGCTATTTTAGGCAGCAGCAGCTTCCAACTTTTCACTAGCTGCATATCACTTGAGAAACGTCAGCGTGTTCCTTACTTGACTAACTAAACTCCAACCAGTAGACTTAGAGCGAAGAGCCACAGAAGAAAAGCCTCAAAGCAAGCAAGCTAATTACATTAAAGTTGTGCTAATCATAAGGCTGGATCAGTAAGTCAAACTCTTTGTCCCCTCCCACTCAGCTCCGTGCTTCCTGACCTATATATCCATTTTCCCCACACCTTCCCTCAAAAACTTTCTCTTCAACCTCCATCAAACCACAGTCCTTACATGTATTTTACCGGCTCCATATCCTGAGTTTTTGAGTGATATATATACTAAGAAACCACTCACATCACAACAGATCAGTTCTTTTCCACAACTTCCAAATAATGCCCATCAACTTACGGAATACAAAGCAGGCAAATCCCTGGTTATATGGATGAAATGTTTAAATAAATCCTAGTACTACAGGAAGGAATACAGGTCTTAATTTTGTTCAGCATCTGCAGCATGTGCACCAGGGTAACTTACTATAAACACTACGCATTTCTCATTATCAAGTATGGAAACAGGACATTCTCCACAGGTAACGGTATTTCCCTCTGAAGAGCAGTGCAGAAAAGGTCTAAATGGACATAACAAGAACTCTGACACAAACACTACTTTGTCTTTCCCTGCACTAAACAGGTATTTTCCATAGTAGCTGTATTATTAATTAACATTCTCTTTTTACACACACAAAGAGCATTTCTGCAGTTACTATGAATCAGATTTTCTATTTGAAAGAAATCCTTATTGGCATTAAACACTATCACATGCCTGCAGATTTGTCAGATTCAATTTCTAACCCAATTTTAAAGAGCTCATGGTTTGGTTATTTTGTTTTGGGGAGGAGGGTAGCAGTGTTGGGGGTTATGGTTTGTTTTTTTGTTTGTTTCTTGGGGGGTTTTTAAAGTACAGTGGAAAAGAAGCAGGAGATCCAGAGACCAAAAAAAAAAAAAAAAACCAAAACAAACAACAACAACAAAAAACACTAAACACCTATATTTGTTACTTTTTATTGAAAATAACCTGTAGATGTTAATAGACAAATAAAAACATTCCTAAAAGAAAGAACTGATCTGCCTTTGCACATAGTGTGATACACCTTCACATATATACTCCAGTTGATGCACTGAAAAGACAGGAACTGTATTACTGAAAGCCATGTCAGAAAGGACCTAACACACATAGGACACTACAAAAATTTCTTAAAGCCTTGTCTAAAATGCCTCCAGTTTTGATATTCTGTAGTATTTACTGGAACTACAAAGTACAATGTCCCTGTTGATAGGTACACTTTTCAAAGTATGTTGAGGACTTTATTCATATAACAGAATTCTCAGTCATTACAAAACCATGACTCTTTCTTTGTCTTTTTTGCCTTTATTAGCATAAAGTCACCTTATATATGGTACACATCTGCTACATCATTTGTAGTGAGAACTTTCACAAGAAAGGATCTTCTCAGAAAAGATATTAACATAAGCAGGTGAGAAACTGCCAGATTATTTTACTAAAATGTGTAATAGGAATGTGTCATTAGGAAGGAAAGTAAAAGACAGTGAACAGATATTTTAATCTTAGGTACCAGAAGAACATACTATATAAAGTTTCTGCAACAGCAAAAAAACTGAAGTAGTCTGATCTACATATAAAAGAATACAAACAAGGCAGAATAAATCATCTGTTACTTCTCTTCGTATTTGGACACAATTCATCATAAAAGGACATTTCAAAAAAAACTGTCACATTCAGAAAGACAAGTTATTCTTCAGTATAAAAGCATCACCATAAAAAACTACACAAGCATCTCTCAATAAAGTAATGCTTGTGCTTTACAATGCAGACAAGACATCTTTTATGTCT